AGTATGGGAGCAGTAGTTGAAAACTTGTGTTTTTCCCCTGAAAGGCCATGCCAGTTTTGCATTCTGTGCAATTATATATATTAACGCTTATATTCAGATTTTAAATGGAGTTTTCCCCAAAAAAGCCTTCAAGTAAAATTGATCCACAGAGGTGTGTTGAGTTTATTCAGTGGCTCTGTGTAATTCCTACTCCCACCTTAGCACATACCATGTAACCTAGGGTATCTATGGTAGGCAGCCCCTAAGATGGCCCCCTATAACTCCACCTCCTGATATTCATGCCCTTATGCAATCCCTCCCTTTAAGTGTGGGCTGGATTTAGTGACTTGCTTTTAGCAAATAGAATGAGGCAGAAGGAATGGTCTGTCACTTCAGGATTAGATTACAAAAAGGCTGTGGCTTGCATCCAAGGGACTCTCTCTTGCTCACTTGCTCTGAGGGAAGCCAGTTGCCATGTTGTGAGCTGCCCCATGGAGAGGGCCACATAGCAAGGAACTGAGGACAGCCTCCAGCCAACAGTCAGCAAGGAACTGAAGCCCTCAGTCCAATATCCACAAAGAACTGAATCCTGCCAACAATCATGTGAGTGAGCTTGGTAGTGGGTCCTCCCCAGCTGAGCCTTCAGATGAGATTGCTGGTCCAGTAGACACCTGGACTGCAACCTCAGGAGAGACCTTGAGGTAGTCATCAAAGCTGCCCCCAGATTCTTGACTCACAGAAACTGTGAGATAATAAATGTTTCTTGTTTTAAGGAATTAAGTTTGGGGTAATTTGTTATGCAGTAATAGATAATGAAGGTAGCATCCAAATTTGAGAGGCCCAGCCCTGGATTATTTTAATGACCCCTATTCAGCTCCACTATTTTTCATGAGGCCTAGGAAGTAGACTATAAGAGATTTGCTATCAGGAACTCTTGAAAAGAACCCTTGTCCCCCAGGATGTAGAGATGCTTTCCAGCTTAGTGATATATAACCAGGCATGCTCTGGCCACACAGAGTTGACCATGGAAATAATGTAGGTCGAAGTAACGTAGCACTTTCAGCAGCAGCATATTGATAGGAAATGAACTGGAGACTGAACCACACATAGAAGGTGAGAGACTCCTTACCTGCCCAGCTGTATTCTGCTAAGGGCTACATCCGCCCTCAGAACCTGTCCACCCCTAGTGGGCCAATCTATGTCCACAGGCCCAACCTACCAAGCCTAAGGGGTTGGCTCTATGGCTCACTGAGAAGTTCTCAGATCAGATCCCTTCCTCCTGGAAACCTCCCCCAATGTTCCCAATTCTTTCTACTCTCCAAACCTTTCATCTAAGCGCCATGAGATCTGAGGCTCTAACTTACCTCGATTTCCCAAGCACTTAATAGGAGGGCTGAAAGATATCCACTGATTAACAAATGTGTGTTGTAAACAGTACCTTTCTAATGTGTAGTTCTCATGTGTGTATCTTTCTCTCCAACTAGACTATTAAGCTTCTCAAGGTCAGGGACTATGCCTAATTTGCCATGGCATCCAAAGGATCCGGAGGTTCACTGACTTCCAGATGAATACTGGGATCAGAGCAGAGAACAAGCACACACTCTGTTAACCAAGGGTCAACATCTGGCAGCAATCTACAAAGAACTCATGGGGCTCTCCATCCACTTGGCATCAGACCCCTTCTACCACACAGTAAGCTATGAGGGAGAACCTGAGAATTCCTCTGACCTCCAAGGGTCCTCCCCAAGGTAGAGTAGAGGTATCTGCACTGTGCTGAGGTCAGGAAATAGAAGTATGTGGAATTAGGAGGAAGAAAGCAAAAGAGAGAAAGGGAGATAGCTCTACTTTTTACTTTCATGGGCAGCAAACACCTCCTACAAGACATCCCTGGGTTACAGAAGAGGCACAGAGCCTCAGGAGGCTGGATGGGTCCCTGCTCAGACTTAGCAAGTCCTTTTGTAATTTTCGAAGCGATCATATAAACGTAATACAAGCTGGCTAAGCAAATCATCACACAGGCCCAGAAACACCTGACCAAATAAATGTAGGGAGCCAAGATATTCACCTCTGAAAGTGAAGTGGAAGTGACCAATGCTTGGCTTCCGGCAGAGACTAATACCTGATTCTTCTGAGGACCAAAGAGGAAATATTAAAACTGAAAGCCCTTGGCTACTGTCAACAATTGTACACTAGTATCAACTGAGGGAAATAATTTCCTTCCTGACTCCCACTGGGCCAGTCACGCCTGGAGCAGAAGGTGTGATTATCTCATCAAACAAAGCAGGAACCAACCGTCTAGACTGCAGCTTCTAAGAGATTTCTCAAGTACTGAGACATCCTCAGTCTCAGAATCCACCCCCCTCCACCTCCTGCTGCCTAGAGCAAAAACAAACGTGAAAAGTAATAGTAATACACAATTTCATTTCAACTTCAACCACCATCATCGAGTTTCCAGATCTAGCTCCTTTCCAAGACTGAGGACAAAGTAGTGCCCATCCAATCCTGGGATGATAGAGGTGCAGGGTAGGGAGGAAGGACATGCACTGAGCATATAGTGTGCACCCAGCACCGTGCTGGAGACTGCACATTACATTGTCATACTTTTCTTTATATTCAAGATGAATCTTTAACCTAAAGAAGAAAACAACTGTAATAACCTATCACATATGGATCACACTTTACAGTTTGCAAAACAGGTTGGCACCTACCAACCCATTTGCTCTAAACAAACATGAGAGGCAGGCAGGGCAATGATGATTATCCCTAATTCTCAGATCAGGGAAATGAAGGCAGAGGGATGTTGTTTTTCTAGGATTGCACATCTCATAATTGGCAGACCTTCTGATACGCCATCCCACCATACTCACTGCCTTTTTACACACTCACAAACTTCTTAAGCCATACTAGTCCCAAAAGCCTCTTTCTGTCCAGTCATTTGTTTCATTCTCATAAAACCATGCAGTCCAGTCTCATCTGTGCTAGAATTCCTAAAACTCTCCAACAGAGAATTGGCCAGTGCCTGATGGAACACCCTCAGGCAAAGAGACACTCCTATCTTTGGATTTATTCTTTCTATCCATGAAAATGCACTGTGCACCTACTGTGTGCCAGAGATCCCACTAGCCTTTGGGGATACACACGTGACAAGAGAAGCTATCCCTCTTCTGACCAGGTTTTATATTCTTGAACACCATAACCATGTGTGCCCTGCATCCTGCCTTCTCCAAGGTCTCATTCCCATAACAGATCCTGGCGAGACAACATTTCCGGTCATCTCAGCATCCTCATCTGAAGAGTCTAGCTGGCTAATGTCTCTTTCCAAGGATGAGGCAAAGACTAAAGTCCAACACTCTAGGGGCACTCTGACATGAGGATGAGCAGAAGGTTCCTAGTCACCCACATAACTTTAGCCCTCAGTCCCTCTCCTAACAACAGACAGATATTCTTTTGAGGGACCACCTCGTCTCCACTGAGTAGCTGCCATGAGGTTTGAGTGGGATTGTTTCCAAATTCAGAGGAGAACCCCAATTCATACATGCCAATTAGCATAGTCTCCTCCTCGTGGCCTCAGTGTCTGGTGCAAGAATGTGCTGTAACCTAAGTCTGTGGGGATATGGCAAACAAGGCTCTCTTCCCCCAAATGGGAAGGAGGCAGCCTACAGCCCAGGTTGCAGCGGGCAGCCAACCACCTCATGACCATAAGGTGACACATGTTGAGGATGAAGCCAACACACAAAAGAAGGTAGGGCAAGGAGCACTGCAGAGAAAAAGAGCTGGAGTCCTTCTCAAACTGGGCCTGAAGCCCAACTTACCTCTGGACTTGCCTGTTTCCAGCAGGATCCCCCACCCACTTTGTTCTAGATAACATACTTGCTTGAGGCAAAATGTTCAAGACCATATTTGAAATTTTAACAGACTAAAATGTTCAAGAGTCAAAGCCATGGTTTCCAGCCTTTTGTCTTACGCAGATCCATAGGTGCACAGAAAGTCAGTTGTTCTTTTCAGATACACTGATTAAGAAAAGAAAAGGCGGTAAAATGTATCTATAAACTCAGCCACACTTTTAAATGAAGTTAGGTTTTATCAATCACAAAAGCATCTGCTCCATTTTGGAAAACTACAACATAAACATGGCAAGGTATATTATTTGTTCAATATAAAGCTAGTGCTTGGGACACATATGGACTAGCCCTCAGGATGAAGACCACAGATCTAGAATTCTAAATGGAGCCTTTCTCAGAATTCCCCAGCTATTTTCCTCAGATGTCCCCACAGCCCAGGGTAGCCCACAACTCTGATTCTTTTCATCACCCCCATTTTTCAGGACATGATGTCCTATTCTTCCTGGTAAACACAGAGGAATTTCAAAACACAAAGGAAAGCTTATCTTACCTAGTCACCATTTCCCTTTCTGAGTGTGCAACACGATTCAAACTCAGGTCTCAATGGAACTCTAACAGTCTCCTTAAGACACAGGTTCATACCCTTTCCCTAAGCAAATTTAGCCTCCCCTACCTCAAAGGGTTGTTGTGAAAATAAAATGGGATCACAGAAGAAGAAGTACCTTGCACAGGGGTAAGCAAGAGCCACTCAAAAATATTACATTCTTTCCTTGCAAATGCCCATAACACTGTTCATCGAGATTCTCATTTTGGTCTTTCAGTTTCAAGAACACTTCCCTCCATGCCAAAGGAGAAAGAAGGAAGCAATACACTTATTGGCAACCCGAAATCATCATTACTCCAAGTTTTCTTCCAATGTCTCTTCATGCCACCTTCCAAGAGCTGAGTCCTGCCTTTGCTTTGCCACACATTTTATTAACATTATTATATTTTGTCCATCGCCAATGAAGTCTTATCTCGAGAAAAAAAAGGAAGAACATTTCGGTTCTTCTCTAGTTCTTAGTCCATCCCAGTTAGTAGTGCCCGTGCTTTAAAAGGAAGCCACTGAGTTTTAAAACTCATTAAAACATTCACATTGATTATAAAAGGGAAAAGTCTTCTTTTCTGCATAGGACTCACCAGTTGAGGAAAAATATCTTCCCTCCAATGACTGCCCAGTAGAACAATGAAAAAGGTGCTAGACTGGGAATCAGTTGACTGGATTCTGTCTTCGGTTCTCTTTCTGAGTCTCAGTGTTCCCACCTATGGAAAACTGGAGAAGGATGTTGCTTGTGAAACTCTAGGATCTTACCAGCTTTAGAAGTCCCAGATTTATGAAGTCACTGGTTAAGGCTATCCCAGGAATAATGCCAGGCTTAAAACTCACAAATCTAGTGGTTTACCTTTATACCTCCTAAGCCCTCAGTCAGCTCCTGGCACTTCTATTTCACTAAGTTTCTCAGAATGATAGGGAAAGAGGATGCTGGTACCCTAGTGTTCATACCTCAGCTCTCCGGAAAAACAGCTTCATTGTAATATCAGACATGAAAGAGACAGATCAGTTAATTAGACCCTCACATTTTTACCAAGGAAAAAATTAACAGCAAAATCTGAACTCCAACAAAAAAAGAGACAAGGTATATGAGTTTGGAGACAAATTTCTAACTGTGGGACCTAGTGACCCCTGTGAACCTTAGTTTCCTTTCCAGAAAAATGAGAGCCAGTGAGCAGCAGAGAGCTGGATGATCTAGACATTTCCTGATAAGTCTCCATTACAGGTTTTATTTCATTAAGAGCTATTACTATTTTGCTAAGGATTATGCAATATATACTCCAACAGACAAGAATGCCAAGGCAGCAGGCTGTTATAAAATATGTGTTTTGTATATGCAGGAGAATCCACATACCAGAAAAACTGCTACTCCCATTTTCATTGTTGTCATTTTAAACATTATTTAACCAATCACACAATTGTTTCATGTATATTATCTCATTCAGTCTTTAAATACCCATATAAGCTCAAAGTTGGGTGGGACTTTAAAAACGATCCACCTCAACTCTTCCAACTGATAGGAGGAGAAGCTGGGGCCAGAGCAGGGAAATGATGACTCCAGGAGCCCACCATTAATGGCAGGGCTTGCTCCAATGGACCTAGTTATAAGCCACTTTAACAGAGGAGGACACTGACACTCAGTGGGGCAGAGAGACTTGCCCTCGGTCACACAATCACCTTTGGAGCAAACCAGGACTTACATACTCAGGCCTCTGACCATCTGCTTCCAAGCTCTTGCAATATAGCCAAATGTAAAAAGAAATTAAGTTAGAAAGATGGAGCATAATCAAGATGAATTCGCAAAGCAATGAGTTTCCTGAGAGCTAGTGATCCTCAAGGACACTAGAATTCTCAAAGCCATTCCACTGAAATGAGAGAAAGGCATAATTTCAAACTTGCTGAGGAATGGACTATTAGGAGGCCAACACTGGACCTGTGCACAGTGTAATCTCATAGAAAACAAAAAAACAGCCCCCACCCCAAGCCCAGGAAACCTCAGCTTCTCCTTGCAGAGGAAGATATAAATCAGAACGGTTTCCACAACAGCAGCAAAGGGCATCTGACTGCCCAGATTTCTCAACTTCATTGAAAGGTAAAGCTCTCCACCTTTGGCCCTGGGGGAATCTCTCATACACTTGCCAGCTTCCCTCAACGCACAAATCAAAGTGGTCTCCCTTTTCCACAGTCAACTTCTCTTTTAATAACTTTTTTCTTCTTTTCCATAAAGAGAACAAGCAGCTTTGCTAAAGAACCGCTGTGAAATGATTGAAGTTCCCATGCAAACAAACCATTAGCAGAGTTCAAATGCAATTTAAATTACCAGTTGTTAAAGCGCTCCTCAATTTCATGGTAAGTTTCCAAGGAGAATTACATGCTATATACTATTTAATTGGTTGTTTTCTATTTTTTAACATCCATTTATCCCCCCCTTATATTTTAGAAGTGTCTATAAAAGCTTCCCTTTAAAAAATTATACATTGTTGAATAGATTAGATCTAAAGATTGAAAAGTATCAGAGAAACAGCTGCAGGATTACGCAGCTCAGCAGAAATTGATGGTTTTGACACCACAAAACATGCAAAATTTTAAAATCTTAGGAGTCACCTCATAGTGCCCTCACTCTTTACAGATGAAGACCCCGAGGCCCTGACAGGGGAAGGAGGGGTTGGCTAAAGTCCTCTCAATGGTCAGTGACAGCTTCAAGAGGAGAATCATGGCTCCTAACTCCCACCACCACTGGTTGGAGGAGATGATGGGAAATACTCAAGGCATTTTATTTTCCACCTATAATTTTTTAAAAGAAAATATGACCTCCTCTTCAAATACACTCCTGATCTCAAAAGCAGAGATGGGCAATGGCAACTATCTCCCCAAAACGTAGAAAAAGAAGTAAAGGCTGATGAATGACTGCAGTCAGAGATCAAAATGAGCAAATTCTTGGCAGGAAAAGTCAAGACACTATTCTAGATTATTAAACAAGTTAATGAGACATCAAGAGTATTGACTTCCACTGCTTTATCTGGCCCTGGAGTGAGAGGATAAAGAATCAACAAAGTAAAGGCAGGTCTTGTCACATATGTAAATGCAAAGAATTTCTAGAAGCCGTCATGAGTACAGAAGGAAGTTCAAGGCTTTGATATTGGACTTGTGCAAATTATTTAACCTCCCTGAGCTCAAGCTTCTCTGTCTTCAAAATGGGGCTAATACCACCTACCCATCAGGGTGTATATAATCATTTCCTGGGAATACCATATCCAGCATGCATAGCACAGAGCCTCCACACAATATGCATTAATTAACGTTTACCCTCTTGTCTTCCAAGGTTTCTATAATTTCTCAAAGCCTATAGCTCCGTGGTTCTAATTTATTTGGACTATAACTGAGTCTTATAACTCATGTATGTTCCCTAAGTCGGTTAGATGCTATATGTCCCCCAACTATAAATTCAATTATTTTGTCACTCAAAAAATAAAATGAAATAAAATACATGCAGGAAAACTTACATATCCAAGCATTTTCCTTCAAAAGCAAACTTTTTGGAACTGCTATTTAAAAACGGCCTTTACAAATATATAGTGTAGGTAGTGGATCAACCACTTATAAAGCTAGTATGAGGGTCAAAAGACAAAAGTACTAAAATCATCTATACCTACAATAAGAGGTTAAAGGATACACAAAACTAAAAGAGGTAAAACATGATGTCAAAAACATAAAATGTGGGGTGGGCAGTAAAAATATAAGGCTTGTAGTATGAAGTCAAACTTAAGTGACCATCAACCTAACAGAGATTGCTATACACATAGGTTATTATATATGAATCTCATGGTAACCACAAACCAAAAACCCATCATAAATACACAAAAAATAAAGAGAAAGGAATGCAAACATAACACTAAAGTAAGTCATCCAATTGCAAGGGAAGAGAGCAAGAGAAGAAAAAAGAAACAGATAAGAACTACAAAAAAAATCCAGGAAAAAAGTAACAAAATGGCAATAAGTACATACTTATCAATAGTTACTTTAAATGTAAATGGATTAAATGCTCCAATCAAAAGACATAGGGTTGGGCCAGCCTGGTGGCATAGCAGTTAAGTTCACACGTTCCACTTCGGCAGCCCAGGGTTCACCAGTTTGGATCCTGGGTGCAGACCTACTCCCCATTCATCAAGGCATCTGAGGCGGCATCCCACAGAGAAGAGCTACAACTCTACAACTATGATATACAACTATACGCTGGGGCTTTAGGGAGAAAAAAAAAAAAAGAGAAGAAGATTGGCAACAGATGTTAGCATAGGGCCAATCTTCCTCAAAAAAAAAAAAAGAAGAGAGATCTGCAGTGTTTAAAAAAAAAAAAGACATAGGGTGGCTGAATGGATAAAAAGACAAGACCTATATAAATACTCCCTACAAGAGACACACTTCAGATGTAAAGACACTCCTGGACTGAAAGTGAAGGGATGGAAAAAGATATTCCATGTAAATGGAAACAAAAAGAAAGCTAGGGTAGCAATACTTATATCAGGCAAAATAGACCTTAAAAAAAAAAAAAAAAAAAAGAGACAAAGAGGGGCACTATATAATGATAAAGGGAACAATCCAACAAGAGGATATAACCCTTGTAAATATCTATGCACCCAACATAGGAGCACCTAAATACAGAAAGCAAATATTAACAGACATAAAAGGAGAAACTGACAGTAACACAATAATAGTAGGGAATGTCAACACCCTACTTACATCACTGGATAGAACATCCAGACAGCAGATCAATACGGAAATACTGGCCTTAAATGACACATCAGACCAGATGGACTGAATAGATATATACAGAACATTTTATTCAAAAAGAGCAAAATACATTCTTTTTGAATGCACATGGAACATTCTCCAGGATAGATCACATGTTAGGTCACAAACAAGTCTCAATAAATTTAAGAAGACTGAAATAATATCAAGCATCTCTTCCAACCACAACCGTATGAAACTAGAAATCAACTACAAGAAAAAAACTGGAAAAGTCAAAAATATGTGGAGAATAAACAAAATACTATTGAACAACTATTGGCTCAATGAAGAAATCAAAGCAAAAATCAAAAAATACCTGGAGACAAATGAAAATGAAAATACAATATACCAAAATCTATGCATTACAGCAAAAGCGGTACTGAGGGGGAAGTTTTAGCAATCCAGGCCTACCTCAAAAAACAAGAAAAACCTCAAATAAACAATCTAACATTACACCTAAAAGAACTAGAAAAAGAAGAACAAAGCCCAAAATCAGTAGAAGGAAAGAAATAGTAAAAATCAGAATGGAAATAAAGGAAATAAGAGACTAAAAAGACAATAGAAAAGATCAATCAAACTAATAGCTGGTTCTTTGAAAAGATAAACAATTTTGACAAACTTTTAGCCAGACTTACTACGACAAAAAGAGAGAAGGCTCAAATAAATAAAATCAGAAATGAAAGAGGAGAAATTACAACAGATACCACAGAAATACAAAGGCTTATAAGAGAATAATATGAAAAGCGACACGCCAACAAATTGGATAACCTACAAGAAATGGATAAATTCTTAAAATCATACAACCTTCCAAAACTGAATCAAGAAGAAACAGAGAATCTGTACAGACTGATCACAGTAAGGAGATTGAAACAGTAATCAAAAACCTCCCAAAAAATGAAAGTCCAGCACCAGATGGCTTCCCTGG